GTATCTTTTATAAAGAGTTACAAGTTGGTTGTTGCTATACAATTCAGGAAGCCAAGGCCTCTGTAATCAAATCTTGAGCCTGTTTAACAGTTAAATGTCCAGTTTACCTCTCTGATCCTCTGTAGAATTTTGATTGTATCATAATTACGCTACCTGGCCACTCCTTCAAAGCAATGTTTCACATTTCAGGTGTATAGTTTGAGACAAGAAGCAGGAGTGCTGCGCAGGTATTCAGCTTCTCCAAAAACACAGGCCTTGTATGCTTCTACCTGCTATCAAAACACAGTGAAACTTAGAGGATTTTTTGGGGGGATAAATTTGGTGTCATTTTCCACACCGCCCCCTCCTGTATACATTGGAAACACTTACCCCAAAGAAGAATTAAAAAGACGACTCTTTGCAAATGTTGAGAGATATATACATACCAGGCCCTTTATACATATTTTTACTTAGCCAGTTTTAGTTCAGAATCTGGCCTCTTAATCATTTATGGTGCAATCCCACCCCCAAAAGGCATTAAGGTACTTACCTACCTTTATTGGGTCTGGCCATTAACAGCTATTTTGTTATTCCTTTGACCATTACATACAAATCACTATTTGGGGTGCTTCTGTTTACATACATTTGATATTTCATCTTTTGGATTTAAACCCACATTAAATTATTATCAACATCTTTTAAGCTCCTCTTCAGTCCCATTAACCATTGTGAATGGCAGAATCTTTACAGGGAGGATGTATTTTGTACTTTCGCCTTTCTTACACTAAAAAAAAAGTGCAGCTCACACAGCAAACCAGTCTAAACTGGAACTTCCAGGGTCACTCCAAGTAATGTATCACTGCCCTTTTGATTAAGTGTACTTTCACACCGTGGCTCCAATTTCAGCTCAAACCATCACTGTTGCTATATAGTGTTTCACTGCCCAATATATTATCCAGGGTTTTTAACACTGCAAAAGGTGCATAGTTCTCTAGCGTGCAAAAACTCACAGGAATTGTATGCACTCACAGATCAAGCTGCTATAGATGGACAATTTGAGAATGTCTCATGCACAGTCCACCATCTTTTCTCTCCCAACTATTCACATGTGGCTACCACAGAGATTAAGGGGAAGAATCAGAAACAGAACCACTTCATCCCAGATTACTTTTGATTGGGCAATGCTCAGACTGTTTAATGTTAGTAAAGGAAAAATAAGACTAGAGCATTGCCTTGCTCAAGCCTAGCTGCTGTTCTTCGTCTTTTCAGGATCTGCAATCTAGAGAGCATGAAATCCAATGAAAAAAGCTGTCATACAGAATCAGTGCCAACCAGTTAGAAGGTTACAAGTTATCCTGATTTACTTTGAGAAGCTGATGTCTTCTTGGTAGCAAGTCATTCCCCCTGTCAGACCAGCAAATTTAGTAGCATAGACCATTTGGAAAAAAACAGCACTTTTTTCAGACACAGTTGAACAATATGGCTTTGTCCTGATTCTTTTGCTTCACTTGTCCTCTTTAGCTTGGCATTTTTTTACTACAGCTGTCTTCTCTAAGATAACAGTAACTTCTCTAGCATTAATTTTTCCTGTTCTGAACAGTAGCTTAACATACTGATAATTTCTTAAGGGAGTGGATGGCTTAGGAGATGGGGGGGAAAAAAGCAGTGAAAGATTAAAAAACCCTTCCCACCTCTTCAGTAGGTAAGAAGTCTCCGTTGTCAGACATAAGGTGAGGGAATTCTTTTTGCATTGAAAGAAAAGAACATACCCTTCCTCCTTCCAGGTTACTGAAACAGGTGTTTCATGCGGAGGGGTGTACTTTAAGATACACTCCTCTCTGAGTAATTTCCTCCTGTTCAGCTTGGCTTTTGTAGTCCTGTTCTTAGGCACCTAACTTCCAGTGTATTTTATAGGAGTTAACATATCTAAATTTACAGTTCTGGAATACCAAAGTATTCATAATGCTTTAAAGGCACTACTTTAAGGACATTCCAGTTATTCTGTTTTTCGTGTTTACCATACTTGCATACTTGCTTTGCAGTGGTCATGGATGCCAAAGGAAGAAGTCTTCAACAAAATTAGTGATGTGCTGGTATACAATGCACTCCTTGGTTGTGTGTGTAATTTAATTTTTCCCTCAAAACCTGTTAAAAGGAAGCAGAAAACAACCACCATTATGTATGGTTGTTCTTTTTTTTGAAATATGGATGACATTTTTATCCAACTTTTCAAGGCAGATTTTGGATTTAGCTTAATATCTCTAATTAATTTTAAAGGAAGATACATCTAGACTGCTTTAAGCATCTCAGTCAAAAAACATATTGCAATAGCATCCCTGACCTGTTATATTAGTGCTAGCTGTTGTCAAGTCTCCTCTGAAGAAGCCTATTTTCAAATTTTGTTGAGGATTGCTCATTCTAACCACTACTGAAATGTATAATTTGGCTCTATGTCTTTATACAGGCAGTCCTTGACTTAAGATGTTTCGAGTTACAAGAAATGACACTTACAGCATTTGTAAATTGACACCCTGTTTTGACTTTCTGATGCTTGATCTGACATGACACCACACCAGTGAACAAGTTCACTGCGTCACCCAGCTCCCTGAAGAACATCTGTCCAAACTTCCTTGGACACTTTCTTTAAGAAAGCAGACCAGACTCCAGAACAACCTGCAGCCAAGACTCCTGAGAAGACTCCAGCCAAGAGCCCTTCAAAGAGTCCAGCAAAGTTACCTCAAAGAAATCCTTCCAAATCAATGATTGCTATTTACAATATAAATACATTAATGTAGCTATATAACTCATCTATAATTGATGGAGGACAAAATTCTGGGTTATTTTAGGTGAAATATTAGGCCTTGGTTCAGGAACCAATCCCCCATTTATAATATTGTTCCCATGGGAAAATTGGTTCCGAGTTATGACATTTTGACTTAAGATGCAGCTTTCAGGAACCAATTGTGTCATAAGGACTGTCTGTATTCCCTTACTGCAAAACCATAGCTGCTTCAATTGCACACGTTAAACATCATGGCTGCATCCGGAGGAGTGTGGCCATGAGGTATGTGGCCCTGCAGACACATCTGTGGTGCCACATAGCACATATTCAGTAATTCTTTGTGCTGCAAGGTAGCAGTGGGGGGTGGGGGGTTTTGACCCCAGGCAATCCTGGGGTCAAAAAGAACCTGTGCAAAAAAGCAGAGGGGTGCATGTGGTGGCAGCACACACCACCCAAAATCAGAGCTTGGCCAGCTAGAGCTACATTCCAGCTGCCAGCCAGGCTGCAAGCGGCAGGGTTGACACTGTTGCAGCCTCAGGAGGCCCCCAGGAGCCCAGGTAAGGCTGCTGGAGCCAGCCCAGTACCGACCCCAGCCTCCCCGACCCCACCCAGGGTTACCCACTGTGTGCTTAAGGGGGCATTGCACAGGCATTCTCCAGGGACAAGTAGCAGCAGAACAAGGCGTGCTGCTGCTTCCTGTCCTCGGGGAAACAGACCTCCACACTCGTGTGGATGCAGCCCATAGTGGTAAATATATTAACATTATGAAATATTTTGCCCCACGGGTGATCTTTAGCACTGGGACATTTTTTACTTAATATACTCTACTTTGATACACCAACTTGGGGCTTGTTCTTTTGTCTCTTTATGTATCAGCAAAACATAGTTATAATGTAATACTTATTTACATCACCTGCATCATGGCAACAACTTCTATGAAAGAATATGAATATATAAAAGCAGAGACCCCACAAGTTTTAGGCAAACTGAACTAGATTTCAGGTGTACTTGGAAGAAGCTTATAAAGAGAAAATGTTGTTTTTTCTTGAGCCAGAGGCTATCTATTTCTCTGAGCAGTATTATGTATTTTGTTGCCTATAAGACTTGTTAGAAGGCAATCCCTAGATACCTTATTTGATGGCTCATCATCTCTTTACCTGAATTTTACAACTTGAAAATATGATGTTAGAATTCTATTTTGGTACCTCAGTTTTCAGGAATCAAATTTAGGGAAATGGTATGTTTCCTTCCCAGTTGTGTTCAGCCTGGTGAAGTTCAAAGAATTTGACAGTGAATTTACTTTTCCAAGATTCCTTACTGCAGTTTTTATATATAATCATTTTTCCCAATCCTCAGACAGAGAAACAGAGATGCAGCTAATTCACATAGAGGTCTCTAGCAAAACTAGGAGCAAACCCCAGATCTTGTGACACAAATATTTTAATCACAAGACCACTTGGTAACTTTGAACATGCAGAAGCAAACAATACAGTTAGATGCTGATGCATACAGAATACAACCTGGAAGTATATCTATCAGCCACTGAAATGATGGAAATGCCTAGAGTGAAAAAAACTCTTAAGCCTACACAAACCTCAGAAATGATCAGGAGTTCTACTCACCCATGCCAGTCACATTGTCCAAGACAACCTGAAAATAACTTCTATTCAGACAATCTCCTGAATAAGAGAGATGGATATGTACATGCCTAGTATTCTTTCCTTGCATTATTGTAGTAGACGCTGAGCCTCATATACTGATATCTATAGCCAAATTGTTATCAGCATCTATGGTAAGTGTTTATATCAGTTTGCGAGGCCCTAACCTGCAGATTGCTGAGACCATGCAGATAGCAGTCGAGAGGATTAGGATGCTATGCAGAAAGATAAGGTGGCATCTGCACATTCTGCACATGATGTTTCATCAGACCCCAGTGTAACATTCTGACAAAAATCCTCCAGGTGGTACCTTATGCTCCTACTTCTGTTCCCTTGCTGCTGTTCAAGAAAAATAACTTCTCAACCCAAAAATCTGTCTTTATACAAGGACACAGAGAAATAGACCATATCTTTGAACGAGGCATACCCCACAGTAACCTGTTACAATACAAAAAAGAAACTTCACTGTGACTTACCACCTTATACTTGACCTGATAAGAATCATCATGGCACAATTACAGTCCATACTCAATAAAAATCAGACCTTGAGAGAAACATTGCTGGTGCTCTCCCCCACTTACCTGTAACTCCTGGCTTTCAAGCAATCCCCTAATCATGCTCAACTTATAATCAGAAGCAAACTCCTGGATGTTCAACAGACATCAAATGGGATACAACTTTGCAAGGATACAAAACCCATCAACATTCACCACAACTTGTCAACACTCCTCATCAGAATTCACAAAATCTACATATGGCTATCCTCAAAACGTGGCATATCTTATCTAGTGCACCAAATGCCCTCATGGAAACTATGCAAGTGAAACTAAACTAAAACTACACACTGGAATAAGCAAACACAGGAAAAAGATTATAATCAGAGATGTCATCTGGGCTTATGAGTGTTGCTGTTGCCCTCATTGGATGTTATTGATGTGTTGTCTGTGAAGTCTTAGGAACCATGGTGTCGACAAGTCACAATCAGGGTATTTCAACACCAATCTTGTCTTAAAGAATGACCACAGGTTTGATTTGGTGGTAAAGATTCGGCCAGGTTTATTATCTACTAGCACAACTGTCACGGGCTAGGGCCTAGGAGCGGCCGTGATCCCGCTAGCGCCCCCTTGCTGTGGCAATTAGGAGATCCAGCACCCTCTGATTCTCGCCTGCCACGTCTTTGAACTTTTGTAAAGTAATATGGAAGGCTGCCTACGATCTCCTGATATTTAAGGGTGACTTGGTGCACCCCCAGCCTTATGGGCTATGCGTGCCTCCTACCTCCCCTTTAGCACCCCCCAAGCCTCACAGTTCTTCCAGATGTTTATGGTGTCTCCAATCTTAGACCGGCCCCCCCCCTTGGGCCTATGCCACGCGCTTCCCGTGCTCTGGCCCTCGGTGGGGCCTTCAATCTTAGACTGGCCCCCCTTGGGCCTATGCCACGTGCTCGCTGCGCTCCTTCCCTCGGTGGGGCCTCTAATCTTAGACTGGCCCCCCCCTTGGGCCTATGCCACGCGCTTCCTGCGCTCTGGCCCTCAGTGGGGCCTCCAATCTTAGACTGGCCCCCCTTGGGCCTATGCCACGCGCTTCCCAAGCCCCTGCCCTCAGTGGGGCCTTTATCTGCGCTACTCGCGCCCCGGGCTCGCTCCCAGCCCGCTTCTGTGCTACTCACGCCCCTTGGCCCCCGCAGAGCCCGCTTCCGCGCTACTCGCGCCCCTTGGCTCTCTCTGGGCCTATTCCTGCGCCAGCCCTGTCTTGGGCTTTCACTGACGCCCTTGGCTCTCTCTGAGCCTATTCCTGCACCAGCCCCGTCTGGGGTTTTCACCGGCGCCCTTGGCTCTCTCTGAGCCTATTCCTGCGCCACCCGCACCCTTGGCTCTCTCTGGGCCTATTCCTGCGCCAGCCCTGTCTTGGGCTTTCACCGGCACCCTTGGCTCTCTCTGAGCCTATTCCTGCGCCAGCCCTGTCTGGGGCTTTCACCGGTGCCAGGGCTCAGGTGGCACACAGCCGTGCCTGGCCCCCCCTGACCCTTCTCGGGGTCCTATGCCCTCACGGGCCAAGTACTGCCCTCTCGGGCTGGGGTCTCAACCCCACCACCGCACCACTCTGGTGCCAAGCTGCCGCACCTTCCCGGCGCTGCTCGGTGCCCACACAGGGCACCCAGGAAACCCCTGGATTACTGGGGACCTCCTGTGAGGCCTCCTCACACCCCTACAGCCTCACACGGTCCTCCAGTTTTATACACAACAAACCATAAGCCAACTGGCTGTAACCCAAACAATAAGCCTACCGGCTGTAACAAAAACAATAGGCCTACTGGCAATAACAAAACAATAAGCCTGCCAGCTGTAACAAAACCATAAGCCTACCAGCTGTCACAAAGTCCAGGCCCTCCTGGCTCTCTGGCCAAAGCCTCCCGGTCAGGCTTCTCTCTGACTTCGCCATAATGCAGCCCTCTATGGGCTCAGGCTTCACTGCTCTGCTTAGCCCTCCTGCAGAGCTCTTACCCTCAGGCTGCCAGAAGGGAACTGCTCTGCTCTGTTCCTCCGCAGAGCTTCTGCTTCTCAGGCTGCAAGATGGTAACTGCTAGCCAGGCCGGAGCCTGGCTGTTTATAAGGGCCCGGCCCTGCCCCGTTCCGGTCACATGACCCATCTGGTTGCTCCAGCAACCCGCACCTGAGCTGCCCTGGTGATTGGCAGCTGCTCTACACTCTTACTCAGGCACGGGGCACCCAAGTGCCCCGGTGACAACAACCCTAACATGTTTCTGCCTAAAAAGTACATCAGAGCAGGAGTTAAGGCATTTGTCCCTGTGACAAGATAGTTGGCACAACACCATGCAGGCTCCTCCAGGCTGCTACAAAATTTCCCTGCTTTCCAATTCTCCTTTTATGCAGGGATCAAAACAAATTACATCTGTATCTTGAACATCTCAGACTAACCTGTACCATGGGCGTCTTTCATATTCTGATTTGTGTGTTCCTGTTCCAGCCCTATCATCCTGGTACTGGACTAATCTACCATGTACCATCATCTCCCATGCCCACTTCTTGGTAGGATTACATGTATGGGCTACATGCCAAATTCTGTTTATGCGAGGAATTCATGCATCAGTCAGGTTTGCTGGTATGGCCTACTCAAGTCAGTGGTTTAGCAAAGCTTTTGTGTGAGCAGCATATATTGATTAATGCTCCAGCAAGGCCTACAAGAGACATGAACATGTGTAGGAGAACTCTTTTAATAGCGCAGCTACTCACTTTCTGAATTCAGTATCCTTGTGCTCAAGGGAAATTTACCAAACACCTTCAAAAGGTGATCCTGGGAACAAAAGTTCATGAACTGGCTGGATACTAAGAACCAAGAAATAAGAACCACTGCACGGTATGTCATGGCATATTATAATCGACCTGACTCCTGATAATTTTTCTTCACGCTGCAGGCGTTAATGACCCACTTCCCTTTTGAAAGGTCTTGATGTTCCACTAATCAAACCATCTGTTCTGCTGTGATTTCCTTGCTTGGGAATTTCTTCTCACATTTCACAACCCTTTTAATCTTTGCTATGTCTGCTTTTTCCTTAGACTGGAAGAAGAATGCATTGAATACTAATGCTTGTCTAAGTCTATCCTAATCATGCAGGTGGTCCAATAAAAATATTACACACAAAAAACCTTGCATTTTCTCAATATAGAGATGCTCATGGGGAAGGGAGAAGGGTTGCAAGAAGAAAAAATCTCACTTGCAGAGCCTTGCTTAAAATATGGGCGAAAAGAATAGGAATCTGGGTTGCTGGGTTTTTTTAATCAAAATGTTGTTGTATCCTTAGATAATTACTCCATCTTACATATAGTCAATGTATTGTCTTCCATTAATTTTCTATACTACATAAGGGTTATATCATCACCTAGTTGTAGGAGCCCATTGATCCCATTTCATCCTTAGTCTTTTAGGTGAATTGCCTTTCTGGCTGCAATCTGCCTAAGTTTGCATTATGTTTTGGCAGGAAGGGAAAAGAAAAAGCAGAACTAAGCAAGGTGGGAAGAGGGAACAAGGATTTTAAACATTTTATATGCAATCATAGTATCCATATGTGAGCCATCTTGACTGACTGGTATGATGGTGGCGAAGCACATGGATGAGCAGGTTGTGTGCAGTTTCTAGGTAATTTCTGGTGTCTGTTTGGACTTAGAAGTTCCTTTCTTACTCAGAATATGATCTTGCAAGTTCATATATTGACACTGACTCCCTCTGTGCCATTAGGCAGGTAATTTTACTGTTTCCATTTTCCCCATACCAGCTCCTTGCCTCCTCTCACTAGAGTGAGGAACATCTATTGCCTTCAAAATACTTTGCAAGTGAAACACACTGTTTCAATAATTCTTGCCTGCAGAAAACTCATGTCAACTGATTGAGAAATGGATGCCCAAAATTCAGTCAGAACTTGAAAGAATGTCACTGAAAATCAAAACTGAAGCTGTACTGAAATAACATAGTTCTGTTTCCCACATAAATGACAATTGAGAAGAGCAAGAAAGTGGGCATCTGTTCTTGCAAAAAAATGTGTATTCTCTAATGCTTTAAAAGAGACTGATAATTACAGCAGTTGCTGTGAAACCAAGCAACTAACCTATGGCCTGCTGAAAAACAAGGTCTACAATAACAGCAATACATTAATCGGACATATTGACTAATGGGCACCATTTCCATTTCACTTACTATAAAAGAACTTACAGAACATTTGATGAAGTTGTCTTATGTACTCAAGTAGAGAATGATCCCCAGAGTAGCAAAAGCAGAATACCAGAAAGAGCAGCCATGCTCCAGCAGACTTCTGAAAATGTAATATTTTATCAAAACGCCACTAAACTCCCAGCACTTTCCTGTATTTCCTGTCCTGTCCCTGTTGATTATTCAAACTTTTCTTGAGGTGAGTAAATCCAGATGCATGCAGAGGAACAGGCCCAAGACTTTTACTGGCAAAGCCCTATCTAACAGCCTGGCCCTAAAGAGCATGGGCCCTACTGACTGTCATTCTACCTGCACAGCAGACAGTTTCAGATTACAGGCCCTATAAGAAAGAAATGCAAGAATTCAACTTAATGTGAGATTCGAGCACAACTGTTTTCAGTGACACCAAAATTACTTGAAATAGGAAAAAAACCCATAACAACAAGAACTGAAACCTATGGCAGATCGCAAGCTGAACGAGTCAACCATCTGATATTTTTGCAAAAGCCTAACAGCATCCTGGGTTGTATTTATGATATTATCATGGGTGAATCATAGAATGTCATTAGATTCTGCTACTTTATTCAGGGCTGGTGAAACCACACCTGGAGTTGTATGTCCCGTTCTGGGTAGTGCACTTTAAGAAACATGGGGATACATTGTAAAAAAGAGTTCAGAGGAAAGCAACAGAAATTATTAGAGCTCTATCAAACATGATATACAACCAACAGTTGGAAGATGTAGGATTATTTAGTTTGGAGAAGAAAAGATTAGGTGGATTTGATAAGAGTCTTCAGGTACAAAAAGGGGTTCTTGAAGATGATGCCCAACTGGTTTTCTGGGGTGACTAAGCTTAAAGAAATAATAGGCTTAAATTGTAACAAGGAAAATT